AGTAGGGGGAGGAGGCGGAGGAGGGAGGGGGAGGGGGAGGCAGGAGGAGGTGGAAGAGGGAAGAAGAGGGACATGGGGAACGGCAGGCGGGGGTGGAGAAGGGATTGACAGAGAAATGGAGGAGGGAGAACCATGGGCAACAGGGAGGGGACCAGGTTGAACACAGATGAGGGATGAGGAAGGAGGAGTGAGTGAGGAATGATGGATGGGTGGAGGAATTTGTGAAGCAGGAAGGCAAGACGGACTGAGGACTGAGGAAATTCTGATGGGTGAAGGGGTTGAGGGAAGCAGGATGAGGAGGGCAGAGGGATGGAGGGATGAGGGTGGAAGGATCGAGGGATGGGGAGGGTGAGGAGGACGAGGAGCGCGAGGAGAGTGATGAGGAAGAGGGGGGGGAGGAGGAGAAGGAGTACAAAGGGGGAGGACAATCAGGTGAACGGTGGAAGGAGGATGGAGGGGGAGGAGGCGGATGGCGATGACGATGAGGAGTGCGAGAACGATGATGGTGGTGGTGGTGGTGATGGTCATGGTCATGGTCATGATGACGATGATGGTGACGATGACGATGACGATGACGCCTTACGAAAACTGCGCAATTTCATGTCCAATGTGTTCGCAGACTGTATCAAATTTGAGTGTAGGTGGCCTGGGAGAAGCGTCGGAAGGCATCGTCGCCCAGCGGTCTTCCGCCCCGGAGCTCCCGAGCTCGGGCCGTCAGAGTCCCCCGACGTCCGTTTGCGCGCGTGTCCTTCATCACGTACAGTCAACCACGATAGTAAGGATTGGGCAACTTTCAAAGGCTACCCTTGAATCCCTGCCCCTTCAGTATTCGGTCTCCTTCGGGATTCTGCTGCGCTCCGCGCGGAAAGCGTCAACATGGCGTTCCAAGGCCCTTGCATCCTTACCGCGCATCCTTACTATCCTGGTCGAGTGTATGCCCCAAGCCCTCGACTCCCGCCCTTCTCGTCTTCGATCACACCTCGCGTCCGTGGGGGCTCCTCCTCCTTGCAGGGGTGGGCCAGCTGAAACAGGCGGGCGGGCGGGCTGCAGGAGGAAAAAGGGGCACAAGCACGGATAGGCATCGACCTCCAGACGACGATGGGAAAGCATGGGAAGTGGAGGGGAGAGCGAGAATCCAGACAGCTGTGGAGAGAACCCGGGAACCCTGGAGCGCGTACCTGGTGTTAAGTCGGCCTGTCCCCCTACAAGGGGATTTTCGACGAAAAATGAAAAATACCCCCAAAATAGTCAAGAAATAGTCCGAAAATAGTCTGGGGACTATTTTTGGAGTATGTTTTGACCTTTTTGAGGTATTTTGTTTTTTTAGCTCGTCGAAAATCCCCCTACGTGTGCCCCCCTGGGCCCCTCTCGAAGTGGGGCCCGAAGTCGGGCGCTCGGGCCGGAGGCGGGCCCCGCCTCGCAGGGTCGGGCCAGGCGGGCCGTGCCCCGAGCGGTCGGGCAGGGCCGGGCGCGCCCCCGGCCCGGGCGGTCGGGTCGGGGCAGGCAGGGCCATGCTCGGGAGGAGGGGGTCCTCCTCGTCCTCCTCCTCCTCCTCCTCCTCCTCCTTCTCCTCCTCTCCTCCTCCTCCTCTTCCTCCTCCTCCTCCTCCTCCCTCCTCCCTCCTCCCTCCTCCCTCCTCCCTCCTGGGGAAGAGCGAGAGGGGGAGGAGAGAAGTGATGAGGGGGGGAGGGAGGAGGTCAGCGAGCGGTGGAGAGGCACGTCCAGGTGGACCGAGCGCGCCCCACAGAGAGATTCACGCCAGCGACTTCTGAGTCAGGTGCTGACCCCCCTCTGACCGAGCGAGTTTCGATCGGCTGTTAGCTCGGGTTTTGGGCTCACACGAGAGCCCTTCACAAGCGGCTCGAAGGAGGGGGGGAGGAGGAGGAGGGAGGGGGAGGGGGGAGGGGAGGCGGAGAGAGGGGGGAGGGGTCCGCAGTAGGCGTCTGAGGTCTAGGAGCTTGAAAGTGCCACGGCTTCACAGATGAGGTACCCCAGGCCGCTTCCGCATGGGACAGAGTGGGTTTCTTGAGCAGCGCTTGTTCGGTAGCAAATCCTAGGAGCCTTGTGTACCCTCGCAAGTTTGTGTTTAGCGTCGACTAGCGTCGATCAGCGTCTGGGAGTCGATGAGATAGCGCCGAGCTAGCGTCGGCTAGCGTCGACTGCCGTCAATTAGCGTCGACTTAGGGTCGACGAGCGCCGATGAGCAAGAGCCGACAAGATGGTGTGGGAGGCACCCATGGGTTGCCACCGAAATGGTGGCTCAAGCGAACGACTGGTTCTTGAGTGGTTCGGGTGAGAGCGCGGTGTCTGCATTCGCTGTCGGCAGGCCCCTGGCGAGAGCACGGCTCCCGAAAGCGGGAGCGCGACCTTGTGCATCCAGCACACAAGAACCCCAAACCCTCATAGCACAGTGAAGGCGCGGCCGCACTGAGGTCTGAGGTCCCCGTCCTTGCATTAGGGATAATAGAGCAGGGCGGTTTTGGTTCGATACATCTACAGAAACGAATCCCCTTATCCCTGATGTTTGTGGCCCTCCTAACTAAGGTCCCCTCACAAAGAGTTAGGGGTCCTTATTTGGTTAATCATGAAAGCGGGAGCGCGATCTTTGAGTAAGCTGTACAGGTGTCTCTGGCGAGCGGATGCTCCCTGAGCAAATTTTGTGGATGTCCCAGGCGATCGCACTGTTCTCGCGTAAATTGTTGGGACGTCTGGAGCGGGAACCGTTGCTTCCTAGCGCAGGAAAAACGATAATACACCTGGGCGCCCAAGGCCATCATCGACGAGAAACGGGGTGCGAGCATCAATGGTGGGGGAGGGAGGGAGGGAGAGAGAGAGAGAGAGAGAGAGAGAGAGGGGGAGAGAGAGAGAGAGATCAGAAATAGAGAGAGAGAGAGAGAGCGAGAAGGAGGGAGTGAAAGACAGAGGCAGACAGACAGAGAGAGGGAGAGAGAGCTCGAAAAACGAGGGGACACCAGCAGCCGTGGCTGTACTTGCGAAGCTCCCTCTTCGGTGGGCTAGGACTTTGCCTCGACCAAGGATTACGGAAGTACAGTCAACCCGCATAGTAAGGATGGGCAACCTTCCCAAGGGTACCTTTGCATCCTTGCCTCCTCGGTCCATCCTTGGCCACTTTCGTTGACCGCGCCCCGCTCGGAAAACTTCGACATGAGTTCCCAAGGCCATTGCAACCTTATCGCGCATCCTTGCTGTACAGGTTGACTGTAAGCTAAGTGCCCCCTCCTCTTCTGGAGCCCCCTCGGGACTTCCGCGGGGCACGGCTGGACACCCCCCCCACACGGCTCTGGCCTCCCTCGGGGCAGCTTCCGACCCGCCCAACACGGCTCCAAGATTTCTAGGTGGCAATGCCGGCGTTCAAGATCGATCAGGAAGGTACATGCACCGGATTTCGACGGTGGAACGATGTACCCCAGACCAGGTCGCAAGCTCCTCAGAGGCACCCAAGTTGCCGAAACACCCAGCCCCCCACCCCCCCAACCCCCAGAAACGCTTGTATCGGTGCCCTTTGGAGAGCCTTATCTTGGCTCCGTCTAGGGGAAACCTTGGAATCTGCCGCGCATAGCGTCGCCCTTTGAAGGCGAATCTCGGCACTGGCACAGGATGGCCCAGGTACGGCCCAAGGCTGACTGCCCCAAGGCGAACCCCAGGACGAGTCCGAGACGTTCCAAGGACACCCCGACGCCCCCGGTCAACCGAGAGCAAGCTCAAGGCAGGCCCAAATATAGTCCCTGGATGACGAGAAAGTGTTACAACACGCGCTGAGTAGGGCCCCAGAGGATCCCCGACACACGGGCCGAACACTTCCCCAAGCGGCCACGGCATCCGAGAAGCAGCTGAGCACGGTCACCGAGTGTTTCTGGAGATGTTCATGATGGCGCGACTTGGGGTCGCATGGGGGCGTTTCTGCCTCGCTCCTGAGAGCATCTTGCGCGGGACGGCGTGAGAAGCAAAACATGGAGGGAGGGCGTGGACGTTCCAATCATAGTGTTGTGTTGGGGGGGGGCGCTATTTGCCCGCCTGGGCGCGCGTCTGTTCCTGTTCGGCGGGCTATGTCGGGCTGTTCGGCGCCCTCCTGAGCCGTCCGGAGACTATTCGGTGATCCTCTAGGACCGTATCGAGGCTTCTCAGAAGCCGTCTGGATGGCGTCGACTCCACGAGCGCATCTCGTGCTCGATGTGCGAGGGGGGGCTTAAGTCGATCACTGCAGGTCATGAAGGAGGAGAGAAACAGGCAAGGGTCAGACGCACACCACGCGATGCAGGCGTGGTGGCGGACTGCCTCGTGCACTCCTGCGCGCGAACCACCGATGGCGGTATCCTCTCGCGTAACGGAGCAATCTGGAGCAGGCTGAAGCGCTGGGCCTGGGCATCCAATCGCCCCTGCGCGCCCTCCCTCGGGGAACAAGCAACGACATGAGCATGAACTTTCGGAGGTCTGCGCGGACTTCTCCGATCGGCGATGGAGGCGCCGTCGGGGGGCTCCAGCGCCGATCCGAGAAATCAGCGCGCTCCTCCAGCAGTTGATCTTCATGCCATTGCCTGTTCCCCGAGGGTGATCGTGTTCTTATTCGTTGTCTTGCCGATCGGCGCGGGCCCTCGCACACTGCCTTCCCCGTTGGAGTAAGTCTTGTCTGTTTTGGGCGCCTGTTTCGAGCAGGTGGGGTCTCTCCACCATAGGACGCACTACTGCAAGCAGTCGCATGAAGCACAGGTCCGGAGCCAGACCCCCCCTCCCGCCCCCCTCCGCCCAATGTCGAAGCGCCGAATGAGAAAGCGTTCCCAAGGAGGTCCTCTGCGTCACGCTGCTGTGCCAGACGCGTCGTAGCGTCATTCGGTGATCGCGCGCTCCCCACCGCTTCTCCTCCCAGGGAAAGAGTTTATGCCTACGTCACTGCTTGTTGCCCGAGGGAGGGAGCGCAGGGGGCGAGGCGCAGCGCGGGCGCGCGCCCGCGCGAACCGCGGCGGCCCCGCCCGGCGGGAGAGGCGTCCGCCGACGCCGAGGGCCTGCAGACCGCGGCCGGCGCGAGCAGCTCCCCCACGCTGCGGCATCCCACGCCGCTGTCGGTCCCGAGGGGTGCACGGAGCGGACCCGCTGCATCCACTCGTAGACACGCTGCTCATTTCCAGTTCTTCGAAGATGCTTTGATTTTTTGGGGGGGGCCGGGGTCCTCTCGTTTCGAATTGCTCCATCCTGGGCCTCTTCCTGGCCACTAGGGGGCCAGGAACAGTTCGAAACGAGCACAATTAGAAATGAGCACGACTAGGAATGAACGACGTGTAGTTAAAAACCCGGATAGCGGAGCACCAGAAGGCCGATCAAAAACCTCTCGGGGGAGCCCGGGAAGCTCCTGCCAAGGAGCTTCCCGAGGAGCTTCTGGAGAGCCTCCGGGCAGAGGGTGCTGGGAAACGCTCAGGAAAGGCCTGCCGGAACAAGCTGCAAACTCGGGTAGGTCGGTCCCGAGGGGGGCGCGGCACGGACCTGAGGCATGAGAAAAAGGGCCTCGCCTTCCAGGATTGAAGATGTTGATATCTCTTCTCTCGAAGGAGAAGAAAGGCCATAAACAGAAACTTTTGGCGCTCCTCGCGGATTTCTTGGATCGGCGCCTGGGCCCCCCCAGGCGGCGCCTCCGGCGCCGCCCCTGACCGCTCCGCGCGCCAGAGAGGAGGGTCCAGCCCAGATCCAAGAAATCCGCGCTGAGCGCCAACTTTTTTTGTTTATGCAGTTTTTCTTCCTCTAAAAAAGGGCCTCGCCTTCGAGGATCCAAGGGGTCCGATTTGCTTCGCGTCGACGTCGTCGATGCATCGTCGACGTCGAAGATGCATCGCCGCTGCATCACCGATGCCTCGCCGATGCATCGGCGATGTATCAGCGATGCGACGCGATCCTCCGACCCACTCTGCTCCGACCCCATCTGGGGAGGCCTCTCGAGGGGGGCGCGGCGCGGGCCTGAGGCATTCAAGGAAGGGCCTCGCCTTCGGGCGAAACTCGCCCGCGCACCGAGTCCGTTCATGCTGTCCGCTATCGTCCCCTCCTGCTTGCCCCTCCTTCTCCCAAAATATCGCGCTGGAAAAAAACAGAGGCGACGACAGCGGCGAATAGCCCAAAGGGGAGCAATACATGTGTTCAGGTGCGCCGATGATCGATGCCCTCGAAAAGGCTCCCGGGCGAATACGTGTAATGCCCGCCCCTGGGCTATTCGCCCTTACTGTCGCCGCCGGAAAAAACAAAAGGGCCTCGCCTTCGAGGACCGAAGGCGTTGCATTATGTCGGGCGTGTCCCCCTATAGGGGGATTCCATATTTTTTATGTTTGGGGTATTTTGGGCGTATCTTTTATGTTCGGGGGTATTTTTGTTGTGTTTGGGGGTATTTTGGAGGGGGGGGGGTATTTTTTGTTTCTCGTCGAAAGTCCCCCCTGTAGGGGGACAGGCCCGACTTCAGCGTTGCACTTGTCTTCTCCTCTGGCGGGAGGCGAGGGCGGAGGCAGCAAAAGCGGGGGCGGCTCCGCCGGCGGAGCTCTCGACGCCCCCAGAGGTGGCCAGGTTTCCTTCGGGTCTAGCCAGGACCCCCCGGAAGGGGGGACCCGGTTAGTGGTGGGGCCCTGGGGCCCCTCAACTGGCCAGATTCACTGCTCCGGATTTCGTAATAAAGAGAGGGGGGTCTCATTTCGGGGGGGGGTCTCTTCCAGGCTATTTTGGAGGGCCTGGGGGGTCTGGGGACGATGTTTTGGAGGGTTCCCACACGGGGGAGGTCTGAAATGACTTGTCTTGGAGGGTCCAGACCCCCTCCCTTTTATTACGAAATCTGGATAGACCAGGTCTGCCGTGGCCGGTCTTGTTTCGGGCGACGGCAGCTCCAGCTGGTGGACATGGGGCGGGGGGGCGCCCCTGGCACAGATCACCGAACCAGGTTCCACTAAACCCAGTTCTGCCAACGCCCGAGTCTTCAGGGGGGGGAAAACACACACAGACACAGTGAATCGTCGATCCCCAGGAAAAAAACATGGGACAGTATGGGAAGTGTGGGGGGGGGACAAGAGCCAAGAGAGTGTGGGAAAGTACGGGGAATCATTCTATTTGTGTGTATTTCTGTGTGTTGGTGTGTGTGTGTGTTGGTGTGTGTTGGTGTGCGTGTGTTGGTGTGTGTGTGTGTGCGTGTGTGCGTGTGTGCGTGTGTGCGTGTGTGCGTGTGTGCGTGTGTGCGTGTGTGTCTGTGTGTGTGTGTGTCTGTGTGTGTGTCTGTGTCTGTGTCTGTGTCTGTGTCTGTGTCTGTGTCTGTGTCTGTGTCTGTGTGTGTGTGTTTGTGTGTGTTTGTGTGTGTTTGTTTGTGTTTGTGTGTGTGTGTTTGTGTGTGTGTGTTTGTGTGTGTGTGTTTGTGTGTGTTTGTGTGTGTGTTTGTGTGTGTTTGTGTGTGTTTGTGTGTGTTTGTGTGTGTTCGTGTGTGTTCGTGTGTGTTCGTGTGTGTTCGTGTGTGTTCGTGTGTGTTCGTGTGTGTTCGTGTGTGTTCGTGTGTGTTCGTGTGTGTTCGTGTGTGTTCGTGTGTGTTCGTGTGTGTTCGTGTGTGTTCGTGTGTGTTCGTGTGTGTTCGTGTGTGTTCGTGTGTTCGTGTGTGTTTGTGTGTGTTCGTGTGTGTTCGTGTGTGTTCGTGTGTGTTCGTGTGTGTTCGCGTGTGTTCGCGTGAATTCGCGTGTGTTCGCGTGTGTTCGCGTGTGTTCGCGTGTGTTCGCGTGTGTTCGCGTGTGTTCGCGCGTGTTCGCGTGTGTTCGCGTGTGTTCGCGTGTGTTCGCGTGTGTTCGCGTGTGTTCGCGTGTTTTCGCGTGTGTTCGTGTGTGTTCGTGTGTGTTCGTGTGTGTTCGTGTGTGTTCGTGTGTGTTCGTGTGTGTTCGTGTGTGTTCGTGTGTGTTCGTGTGTGTTCGTGTGTGTTCTGTGTGTGTGTTCGTGTGTGTTCGTGTGTGTTCGTGTGTGTTCGTGTGTGTTCGTGTGTGTTCGTGTGTGTGTGTGGTGTGTGGTGTGTGTGGTGTGTGGTGTGTGGTGTGTGGTGTGTGGTGTGGTGTGGTGTGGTGTGGTGTGGTGTGGGTGTGGGTGTGGGTGTGGGTGTGGGTGTGGGTGTGGGTGTGGGTGTGGGTGTGGGTGTGGGTGTGGGTGTGGGTGTGGGTGTGGGTGTGTGTGTCGCAATGCATCGCATTGCGTTGCAGTTGCATTGCGTTGCACTGCAATCGTACTGTAGTGGTTTGCCTTGCCTGGCATTGCTTGGAATTGCTTGGCATTGCTTTGCATTACTTTGCATCGCATTGCATTCGCAGCGAATGGCATTGCAATCGCGTTGCTTTGCATTGCTTTGCACATCGTTGCATTGCAGTCTCATTGTAATGCAATCGCATTGCAAAACAATAGACTTGCTTTGCAATGCTTATCAGTGCATTGTATTGTTTTACATGGCTTTGCATGGTGTTATACGACGTTGCATTGCTTTGTTTTTCGTTGTATAGTCTTGCATCGTAGTACACTGATGTGCAATGCGTTGCATTGCTCTGCATTGCTTTGTCTTGGCATTTGCCACACAGGTAGCACCGCCTGGTTTGCAGCACGCTGGTCTCACCACCACGACTGCAGCGCGTTTACTGCAGGACGTCACTCTTTGAGGCCCGCGCTCGCCATCGAGTCTGGTCATGTAGAGAGCACGGCCTCGCCCGCCCAGGCTCAGATGGGCCCCGGAGGCTCCGCGTCGGTGGCTCTCGTGCTCGCTCGCCGCCCTCGTCGGCCTTCCCCCCTCGGCGCGCCGACGGCGGTGGGTCCTCGCAGGTGCCACGCGTCCGCTCTCCGGGTGCCCTCTCGTCGGCGTCACCGCCGCAGCATACCGGTACTGCGTGGCCTCCCCCCCGCCCCCGGGGGCGACGCGCGCGCCGAGGAATCCTGTGGCGCACGCTCCGTGGCGGGCGCCGTCTGGCCGTACCGCTCGGGAAGCGACACGCCACCGGATGGTTCTGTTACATGCTGCGGGCGGGCGCACGCCTCCAGGGAGGGCAGACAGTGGGACCCCCTGCCAAGAGACTTCCTGCTTGCCTCCAGGATGCCCTGGGTTTCCTGGGTTTCGACGATTCTGCGATAGACTCCCTGGGGTCCCTGGGGTCTCAGGGCTGGGTTCCCTGTGGTCTCTTGTGTTCGAGCTCCTACTGTGCGGTACGGCGGCGGCATTGGATAAGGAACGCATTCTTGGGGCCCAGGCCCTGGCGCATTCCTAATTGTTTCAAGGCGAGGTGGGTGGCCCACGTTTGGCCGCCCCATCGGTCGCGGGACCCTGGGTTCCTTCTCGCGGTCCGATCCCTGAGGTCACAGGTCGTCCACCTCCAGCTTCGACGTCCTCTTGAGCTCTGGGGGGCGCGCGAGGGGCCCTGTGCGGCCGCCCACCCCCGCTGCTCGCCTGCAAGAGGGGGCGGTGGCCAGAGCGGACGCCACTGCTGTCGTGGCCTGGGTGCCACCCGCTCGCCTCAAGTCGGGCCCGTCCCTCTGCAGGAGGTTCTTTAATATTTTTCGACCACTTTGGAGCATTTTTGGAGGATGTTTTCTTTTTCGTCGGAAATCCCCCTGCAGGGGGACACGCCCGACTTCACGCTCGCCCTTGGAGACTTGTCCACAGTGGCGCCAGGAGGGCAGGAAGGAGGGGCTCCTTCTCGGAGGCGCCCTTACCTAAAAAACCTCCACCGTGCGAGCGCCTGCCTCCGTGCGTGCCCTCTCGGGCGTGCGCGGCGCGGCGTCTCGCTGGGCCGACCGCCCCCCCCCCCGCGCGGTCGCTCTTGGCGGGCGTGCCTCGCGCCCGCCAGCCTCTCGGCGCCCCCGGGCCCAGCCTCGAGCAGGCCGGGCGTTCGCGCGCTCGCTGGCGCCGCGGGGCGGTGACCGGCGCTTGATGGGCTGGTGTTCCATCACCACCACCAGAAGACAGGAGGAGGAGGAGGAGGAGGAGGAGGAGGAGGAGGGGGAGGAGGAGGAGGAGGAGGAGGGGGAGGAGGAGGAGGAGGAGGAGGAGGAGGAGGAGGAGGAGGAGGAGGAGGAGGAGGAGGAGGAGGACCCCCTCCTTC